TATATATATATATATATAATATAATATATAATAATATTATATATTCGCCGGTATATCCAGCCCGGGCCTTTGCCAGTGGTGGCTCGGCTTGGCTCCTGGTCTAAGAGTGACTCGAGACATAAGTCTCCAATGGGAGGAGTACAAGTACCCCCTCATCGTCGGACGCAGCTGTCCCCAGGCCTAGCCACATTCCCCGCCCTCACGGGAGCTCGTAGGGAGAAGCTAAGGCCTCATGGCGCCATCCCGCCCCAGGGGCTAATGGGAATGACAGTCTTGTGGCTACAAGCCTTAGACTCATTCAGTATAACGTTGTAAGGCAATTTATATTATTTGACGATTTATACTATATCTAAGACGACTTTTATATATACGATATTATGTCGTAAGACGATTTTATTTAGAAGGAAATTACAAGGAAACTAAATTCTTTGAGGTTAATTAAAGTAGGGAAGTGTAAATATTAAATAATTAGTCAATATATTGGTTCTCCCCCACTGAACACACACACACACACAACACACAAAACACAACACCACAACACACACAACAATACACAGACCACACACACACAACACTAACAAACACCACACAAACAACACAACAACCAGAACACAGACACACAACAGACAACACACAACCCCACCACACAATACACAACCACAAACACACACACAAAAACACACACACACCACACACAAACTATCACACATACAACACACACACACACACACACACACACTCCAGCTAGCTATATGCATAAACTGCTTCATCATACCCAGTAATAGTACGTATAAAAATTGCTTGCGCCAGAAAATAAGATGTTAAGTCGATTGTTATATTACTGAAAGACAATTAAAAACTGTAAACTTGTGGGAAAATGAAGCCAACAGCAGCCACCACAATACACACACCAAGAGAGAGAGGGAGAAGATGAACAGCAAACTGGACCTTTTATTTACCTTGGTAGTTCAACATCGAGATATTTTGTATGAAAGGCCCCCGGGGCTATGACATGTGGTTTTGGCTTCGATACATTTGGCTCAAGTGGGGGGAAGAGCAGAAAGGGGGGAAAAAACCAAACTAAAAAGGGGGAAAACTACTAGGTGGGGAATTTCCTTTAAAAACTTCATGGGAAAAAAAATTTGAAGGAAAACCATAAAAGAAATGAGGAATGTGCAAAAAAATGAAAGGGAGGCGAGGAAGGTTTGCCCCCAAGGGAAAACAAATAAGGGGAAAAACAAGAGCCCGGGTTACCCAAATGAGGGAGCAAAAACAGGTGTCTAGGAAATGGAAAAAAAGAAGCAAGACCCAGGAAAAAAAGAGAACCAAAGAGCCAAAAAAATGCCAGATAAAAAGGGAGGCCAGACAATATGAAAATGCATAGCACAAAGCAAACTGCCCGAACTTTGTACACCACTCAGGGGGAAAAAACAGTCAAGGACCAGGTAATCGGGCTGGGGAAGGGGAGGGGGAACAAAGAAAGACCGGAGTAGTAGGACTAAACAGAGATTAAAAAAGTTTTACAGGGAAAAAGGGACCGGGAAAAGACAGGGGGGACCCCACAAGTGCGGGAAGGGTACAAAACCAGGAGGAAGTGAAGAAGGCTTCAAAAATTTAAACCCCTCAAAGGCGGGGGGCCAGAAACATCTCCCCTGGGTTTTAAAGGGGGAGCAGAGTTTTGTGGTCCAAAACAAAATCTTTCAAACATTTTTAAAAACGGGAATCCTGGGGATGGAAGAGGCAAATGTAGCCCCAAATTTTTAAAAAAGGAGACAGACATAAACAAAAACACAGACCTGTTCACTAAAATGTATAGTATAAACATGGAGAAGATAAAAGGGGAGAGTGTGGAAACCTGAAAGAAACAATTAAAGCAAACCACATGGTTTTTTAGGGAAGGGAAATCCTGGTCACAAACCTCTGAGTTTTTGCAAGGTGACCAATAAGACAAGAGAGAGAGGGGGGGTGGATTTTTTTTGGACTGCAAAAAGGCTTGACACAGTTTTTCCCCAAAAAGGGTTTTAAAAACTGAGACCAAAACATAAAAGGGGAAAATAATGGATCAGGAATACTCAGGGAAAGGCACAACGAGCATGGACGTGCGAGGTGTCAGAGTGGCCTTTTGACAAACGGGGTTTCCCCAAAGGGGTCATCCTAGGACCTTTCGTTTTTTGGATTGGAAAAAGACATAAAAAAAGGGATAGCTCGAAGTGTCCTTTTTTGCGATGATTGAAATTTGGAAAAATCAAATCGATGAGACCCGGGAGGGACTACAAAAGACCCGGACAGGCTCAACCTGGGCCAGAAATGGTCCCTGAGTTAATCCAAAAGCAAAGTCTGAAGGTTGGGGGAAGGGGAAAAAAAGACCGCAAACAAAAAGAGGCCCAAACTCAAACCTCACTCAAGGAAAAAAGATCTGGGGTGGTATACACCAGAATCTCCTGAGGGGCACAAAAATAACTGCCGCAATAGGGGCCCTGGGAAACTAGAAGCTTCCGAACCTAAAAAGGACTTAGACCTGTAACCTTATTAGGCCCATATGAGTATGCGCACCAGTTTTTGGGAACCACCCACAAACACGTAAGAAATTTGAGAAAGTGAAAAGGGTTTGCAACAAGACTAGTCCCAGAGAAAAGGGGTATGTCCCGAGGAGAGGTTAAAGGGGAAATAAACCCTGACACACTGGGGGGACGGGAGAGATGGGGGGGAAAAGAAAACGACATACAAAATACTGAGAGGAATTGACAAGGTGGACAAAGACAGGATGTTCCAGAGATTGGACACAGTAACAAGGGGACACAGTTGGAAGCTGAAGACACAGATGAATCACAGGGATGTTAGGAAGTATTTCTTCAGCCACAGAGTAGTCAGTAAGTGGAATAGTTTGGGAAGCGATGTAGTGGAGGCAGGATCCATACATAGCTTTAAGCAGAGGTATGATAAAGCTCACGGCTCAGGGAGAGTGACCTAGTAGCGATCAGTGAAGAGGCGGGGCCAGGAGCTCGGACTCGACCCCCGCAACCTCAACTAGGTGAGTACAACTAGGTGAGTACACACACACACACACACACACACACACACACACACACACACACACACACTCCAGCTTACTATATGCATAAACATGCTGCATCATAACCCAGTAATATTACGTATTAAAATTGCTTGCGCCAGAAAATACAGATGTTAATGTCGATCTGTTATATTACTGATGACAAATTAATCTGTAAACTTGTGAATATGGAAGCCAACAGCAGCCACACACACACACACACACACACACACACACACACACACACACAGTTTTTTATTTAGATATAACTGGGAACAGGAGCTGCACATTACTATTATTATTTTATTATTTTTATTATTGTAATTATTACTGTTGTTATAATAATAATAATAATAATAATAATTATTATTATTATCATTATCATTATGGGGAAGTGCTAAATAAAAGTGGGTCATAGAGCACCTCGAAGAATGGGGCGTCAATCACTTATCCCCTGGATTTAGAGCTCTTCCCTAACTGTAACATCGTGAGAACGAATGCTAGCTGCTTCCCTCTCACATTCCTTCTCACCGGATAAATCTCCAAGTTCCCAGCTTAATAATGACTTCAGAAGGAAGGAAGGAAGGAAGGAAGGAAGGAAGGAAGACAGCCAAGGAGAAGACGGGGAAAAAAAGGTATGGGGAACAATAACAGTTTTCAGCCTGTAAAATTTGAGTAAGAAAAAAAAAAAGAGAAAAAATCAGAGCCAAGTGATCCTTTCACTTGGATAATCTGGTAGTTTAGTGAAAGCAACGTGTCGGTCTGAGGTGGGGGAGACTGCGCTGAGGGATATACACAAGCATTCCATTGTGAGGAACCACCCGGAGAAGGTTCTCCAGGTAGGGCTGAGACGCCTCTCTTCCAAGGAATTTGAAATACTCTTTCATTTTTTTCCCTCTGGTCAAAGTTGATTGCCTCACATTTCTCTCAGGTGTATGACCATTACAGAGTTAGCTCACTACAATGAATAATAATAATAATAATAATAATAATAATAATAATAATAATAATAATAATAATAATAACAATAACATATTTCAAAATAATATCAACTCTTATCTCTCTCAAATGTTTTGAACATCAACATTTATTCCTTCTTTATTCCTTTAGTTAAGACGTGTCACTGGAACTACACAGTCTCGCTCTTCTTTACATACATAATATAGCTTAAATTTTTCTCCCTTGCCCCCTTTTTCCCCCCTCTCATATATAATTTTTATGGCCCTTCTCTGGATGAGGGGGGTACATTCATTAAAATTCCATTTCTCCTGTGTATGGGATAGGCTGTCCCGAGAGATGGTAATTCCCAAATGATAATAATTCTTGGTCTGCTGGAACGAAACCTTGGAAGGTGTCGTGGCTGACGAACCTTTTATAGAATCCTCATTGACCTAGTGAAGTCTCCCATCTCAGGCTGAAATATTTCAGCGCTGCATGAAATCCTCCCTGTGTGGCGGAATATGACAGGGAAACAGCTAGAATATCTTCCTAGAACGTAACTGTCAGAATAGAGGGGCAGTACACTGCCAATGTATCCAATTTTGCCCCCCCCCCAAAAAAAAAGATGCCAACAGAGAGGGGTAGGAGGAAGAGAGGAGGTAGAGGAGATCTCTCATCAATAAGGTTTGACGTAACTATTGTTTGATGTGCGAGCATTTTCTTCCCGTTTTTAAACAGGTGAGTCACTTGGTACAGGGACACTGCACCTGGACTAGTAGTGTTGGGGTGAGAGAGAGGTTTCAGGGGAATGGAGGACGAGGCATGGAGTGGGGTGTAAGAGGGGTAAGACAAGGATGGGGGGATTGTTGTATCAGGAGAGATGGTTGAAAGTCCCCTTAAAACAGGTGAGGCCTGTACCTTGACGATCTAAGTTGAGGAGGGAGGGGCAGGAATGGGGAAGCAACCAGACCACCTTATATCTGCAAGATGCACTTATCAGTCAGCACCAGTGCGTGCTTGGGTGCAGGAGGGGCTACACGGCGCATTCCAGCCTCCTCTCCATGAGCGCCTTCCATTTATCCTTCCGTTAAGTCCCTCAGGCGGATTCAGTAAGTCCGAGGTTGTTAAACTGTGTTTCAGCAAAGTGTGAATTCGAAGCTTAGAGTGTTTGTGAATTTTACGAGGCGCTCTATGTGCTGCTTCTTGTGGAAGCCACGTCTTAGGTAAGTAGGCAGCAATGGCGCAACTCGACAAGGAAAAATACAGACAATGGTGGCAGGGAAAAATAGTTTATCTAAAGGTGAGCTTTACAAAGCCCTGCATTTGGTGAAGTGGTGGATGCGATGAACGATTTTCCCAATTCCATTGTCTTTATTTCGACTTAGGTACTTCGTGGATGATTAGCACATTATTCCATATGCCTATATAACTTGTACTGTACAAACACAATTAGATATGTACAAATTAGTAAGTACAAAGCATGTGACTTTGTCACTCAGAGACAATGTTGGAGGAACACTCAGACATTATATATATATATATATATATATATATAATATATATATTATATATTTATATATATATATATATATATATATATATATATAATTATAATGTAACATGATACATGGAGATCCCACCTCTGGAACTGACATGGACCGACAACCTCAGAGAAGAGAATAAACATACTTCAGGAAAAACTCAGGTTTCTTACCAGAGCTGTTGTATTTTTTTTCTCCTGCCATCTACTACTATATGCTATGTTCATTAACTTTATTTGAAAATAAAATACGTGAAAAGATATACATAGGGAAGGAGAACAAGACAAATACCACCTCAGAGCCTACATCTCAAATACTTCATCCAGATCCCCGGCGGTGGGCCGTGCTCGCAGAATTATGCAAACATTTTCTTTTTGGATCGCAACACTGGGTCTCTGAAAAACGGAAGCTGGTCACTCTGGGGTCTTTGGCTTCCGTGATGAGCTTGTCATCCAACGCTTTAAGGAATCTTAAAGAACACTTGCCCCACGCTCCAAGGTCCTCTGGATTTGTTGATCTTCTGGGTCTCCCTGAAACCGGTGGCACATCCCCCTCCCCTTCAGCCTCAGAGTACTGTAAGTAGCTGTCAGCCAACGTAGACACAATCTGCTTACCATCTATCTAGGGTAACACGGTGATTCCATCTTGGCTCTATATATTTAATAATACACCTAACATAACTTTCCTAAAAGTAATGGAACACAAATGAACTTAATCGTACTTAATCCATCTTGGTTCTTCTTAAAATTAGTTTGTATTATTTAACAGCCAAGTCGACAACCCTTTCTCGCCACCTTTACGGATCTGACCACTGACTGGTTTAGGTTGATAATTTGTTGATATCTTGATGTCAGATGCAGATGTGAGTCAGACTCGATTGCATATTATCTTGAATTCACTTATGTCTGTCAGTTATTTTCCATCCCATCCTTCAGCTCAGTGTACGCTGCGATGGTACTTGATCCGTCAAGGCGTTAGTGGGGCAGCAGATGTGGCAGTGGGGCAGCAGATGTGGCAGTGGGGCAGCAGATGTGGCAGTGGGGCAGCAGATGTGGCAGTGGGGCAGCAGATGTGGCAGTGGGGCAGCAGATGTGGCAGTGGGGCAGCAGATGTGGCAGTGGGGCAGCAGATGTGGCAGTGGGGCAGCAGATGTGGCAGTGGGGCAGCAGATGTGGCAGTGGGGCAGCAGATGTGGCAGTGGGGCAGCAGATGTGGCAGTGGAACAACAGATGTGGCAGTGGGGTAGCAGATGTGGCAGTGGGGCAGCAGATGTGGCAGTGGGGCAGCAGATGTGGCAGTGAGGAAGCAGATATGGCAGTGGGGAAGCAGATGTACCAATGGGGCAGCTGATGTGGCAGTGGGGCAGCAGATGTGGCAGTGGGGCAGAAGATGTGGCAGTGGGGCAGCAGATGTGGCAGTGGGGAAGCAGATGTGCCAATGGGGCAGCAGATGTGCCAATGGGGCAGCTGATGTGCCAGTGGGGCAGCAGATGTGGCAGTGGGACAGCAGATGTGGCAGTGAGGCAGCAGATGTGGCAGTGGGGAAGCAGATGTGCCAATGGGGCAGCTGATGTGCCAGCGGGGAAGCAGATGTGACAGTGGGGCAGCAAATGTGCCAGTGGGACACTAGATGTAGCAGTGGGGCAGATGTGCCAGTGAGGCAGCAGATGTGCCAATGAGGCAGCAGATGTGCCAGTTGGGCAGCAGATGTGCCAGTGAGGCAGCAGATGTGCCAGTGGGGCAGCAAATGTGCCAATGAGGCAGCAGATGTGCCAGTGGGGCAGCAAATGTGTCAGTGAGGCAGCAAATGTGTCAGTGAGGCAGCATATGTGCCAGTGAGGCAGCAGATGTGCCAGTGGGGCAGCAAATGTGCCAATAGGGCAGCAAATGTGTCAGTGGGGCAGCAGATGTGCCAGTGGGGCAGCAGATGTGCCAGTGGGGCAGCAGATGTGCCAGTGGGGCAGCAGATATGGCAGTGGGGCAGCAGAAGTGCCAGTGGGGCTGCAGATATGACAGTGGGACAGCAGATGTGACAGTGGGGCAACAGATATGACAGTGGGGCAGCAGATGGTGAAGCTGGAGATTTTGTCCAGGTAGTCGGGAATTATACGCAGGAAGGAATACATATAAATGACCTCATAGGGGACAGGAGCCATAGTAGGGAAACAAGTGTAGTCAAAGATAAGATAAAACCAATATTGCAAACTAGAAATACCGCAGGAAATAGCAAACAAGAGGACTCCACTAGCAATAGTGAGGATATATTACCAAAAACAACTGGTGGGAGCTCCATTGTTGGTGCTAGGGAGAATAGAAGTAAGACAGGGAAACATGCACCAACAGGGAATACAGTCACAGAAACCCAAGGCAAACGGAAACCAAGCCTGTGCACATACTATGCACTCGGTATCTGCTGGCATGGGAAATCTGGAAAAACAGATGGGACGTGCAACTATGACCACCCTAGGAAATGCCATGCCCATATGACAACAGGAAAATGCAAACTCCCTTCCTGTAAGCTTTTTCACCCTGAACTGTGTACCTCTTCAGTACAGGAAAGACTGTGCTATAACTTAAATTGCCATGCATACCATCTAAAGGGGACAAAAAGATACAAAACATCCAGGCCATGGGAAAACCTGGGTAGCCACAGCCACTCAAGAGGGAGAGGTTTTTTAGTGCCAGGAAGGAAAAAAAACTGGCAGGAAATGGCAGAAATCGTACACCAAATCCAGTCATTCCTGGAGTGGAACCACAGTCGATGGCCTCCACTCCAAACCAACAGATACAGATACTAATGTCGGAAAAAAAATCCCCCCCCAGTACCAACAATACCACCAGTCCGATAACATTCTTCTTTGCAAATATACAGGGTCTAAAGCCAGCAACAAACAACAAAATACCTTTCATCCGTGGACTGCTTGCAGAGGCAAAGGCAATGTTCGCGGCTTTCACTGAGACCCACATAAAGGATCACTTGGACAACGAAATATGGATCCCAGGTTACAACCTATACAGATGTGACAGAGTGAACAGGCAAAAGGGGAGGGTTGGCCTGTACATTGCAGAGTCACTTGTTTGCACAGAACTGCTAAATGCCTCAAATGATGTAGTGGAAGTTTTAGCAGTAAAGGTCGAGAACCAAAACCTAGTCATTGTGATAGTCTACAAGCCTCCGGATGCAACATCCCAGCAATTCCAGGAACAGCTGTTAAAAATTGACCACTGTCTGGAAAACCTTCCAGCTCCTGCACCCAACATCTTGCTCCTGGGGGATTTCAACTTAAGGCACCTAAAATGGAGGAATATAGCAAATAATATTGTTGCAGTAATAACACCAGGAGGCAGCTCTGATGAAAACTCACACTCACGCGAGCTTTTAAATCTCTGCACAAAATTCAATTAAACCAGCAAATAATAGAGCCTACTAGACTGGAGAATACACTAGACCTCATCTTCACTAACAATGATGATCTGATAAGAAATATCACCATATCTAAAACAATATACTCAGATCACAACATAATTGAGGTTCAGTCATGTATGCGCGGAGCCCCAGACCGACATAATGAGATTAGTCACGAGGGAGCATTCACCAAATTCAACTTCAATAACAAAAAACATAAAGTGGGACCAAGTAAACCAAGTCCTAACCGATATAAGCTGGGAAGATATACTAAGCAACACAGACCCCAACTTATGCCTAGAACAGATTAACTCGGTGGCACTCGATGTATGCACAAGGCTTATTCCTCTAAGAAAAAGGAGGAGTAGATGTAAAACAGAAAGAGACAGGCGCTCCCTTTACAGGCGACGAAAAAGAATAGCAGAGCGGCTAAAAGAGGTCAATATATCTGAAATGCGTAGGGAGACACTGGTCAGAGAAATAGCAAGCATCGAACTTAAGCTAAAAGAATCCTTTAGGAGTCAGGAATCGCGGGAAGAACTAAAAGCCATAAATGAAATCGAAAGAAACCCAAAGTATTTCTTCTCCTATGCCAAATCAAAATCGAGAACAACGTCCAGTATTGGGCCCCTACTTAAACAAGATGGGTCCTACACAGATGACAGCAAGGAAATGAGTGAGCTACTCAAGTCCCAATATGACTCAGTTTTTAGCAAGCCGCTAACCAGACTGAGAGTCGAAGATCAAAATGAATTTTTTATGAGAGAGCCACAAAATTTGATTAACACAAGCCTATCCCATGTTATCCTGACGCCAAATGACTTCGAACAGGCGATAAATGACATGCCCATGCACTCTGACCCAGGGCCAGACTCATGGAACTCTGTGTTCATCAAGAACTGCAAGAAGCCCCTATCACGAGCCTTTTCCATCCTATGGAGAGGGAGCATGGACACGGGGGTCGTCCCACAGTTACTTAAAACAACAGACATAGCTCCACTCCACAAAGGGGGCAGTAAAGCAACAGCAAAGAACTACAGACCAATAGCACTAACATCCCATATCATAAAAATCTTCGAAAGGGTCCTAAGAAGCAAGATCACCACCCATCTAGAAACCCATCAGTTACACAACCCAGGGCAACATGGGTTTAGAACAGGTCG